GAACATGCGAGAAGATGATAACAATATTATTGTACGTAAACATCGTGAAGTTCAACGCTATAGTTTCCAAAATATATCCACGCAAGTAAACAAAATTTCAAGTTTCAACCCAAACAATATATTCCAATGCATGTGCAAGGGCTTTTCCCAGTAGCTAATCTCTCAATATATAAGGCGGCTTCCAATTGGCTCTAATGTTTTTGAACACTGCCAGATGATTGGCTCGGCTAAAACAAAGGGAATTGAATATGGCGCTCGGGTAAGCAGACGGTAGTATTTCGTCGCTTGGCGTAAGAACTACAACGTCTGTGAGCAGGCTAGTACTATGTGCGACTGAAAGAACAATGTTCTGAATATTTGAAGCTATTACTAAAATACGGTCAGATAGATTGGGATTTGGAATACCGAATACGTATAAAATTTTACTAACTGTGGTCTAAATAAATGATAAATGAGCATGTATTTATTAATTTCTTCGAAATCACGAGTGTGCCAATAGTGGAAGCATAGTGGTGGTAGCCGTATCGACGACGAAATTGTCAGCAGTTTATACAGTAAATAGTACAGCGTTTAATGTACGATATATATTTATATCTAAATGACATGCCAGCGAGGATCAACAATATAAATATTCGTACATATTTGGGTATCTTTTGTATACCTTCGCTTGCTGACTAATGAGAATAATCCGTGAAGCCACGACGACCTCAAAATGTACTATACTATAGTCTGATGTCAATCCGAAGACGAAGTTCAGAATAGGCAGAATACTGTTATAGTTTCGTATATTGGATTTAAGCGATAGATTCAAGTCATTTATGATAGACTTTTTGCTGTGATGCTTTGCTATTGCTTTTGGTTTCCATTTCTAGTTTTATTTGTTCGATAGTCTTATAATATATAATATTAAAATGAATAAAGTTCAAATTCTTCAAAATGCTGTTGTTGCCATTTGCTATTTTTAGTAGTTTTGTCAACGAGTGTAAGCCAATCAGAAGCCTGCGTTTCTATACGAACGCCACTACCAAGAAAACCTATAGTTCCGTGCAGGCCCTCTATTCTTCGCGCCGCCCGTAACCCAGGGCCTGTTCGCAGGCTAGAAATTAGCTGACGCCTGATGTGACCTAATGTTTGCGATGGGCTGATGGCGTGGTTGGATGTTGAAACCTAGTTGCAAACCAAATTCTCAAAAACGGCATGTTTAGCAATAATACAGCTAAATATTTTAGTCAAAGAGCAAATAAATATAACTACGCCATTTTACGATGAAATCTCTAAGTATTCCCAGTCAATTTTAGCAAATATTTCAAGCACTAAACAGTGAAAAATGCATCGCAAATTTCGTTAAAATTGGCGACGCCAATTTCGTAGCTACAAATGTAAAAAAGTACAAAACAAAGACGAAAAACATTTACCTTGAATACTTTGTCGTGGCTTAGGCATGTTTTTAAAATAATTAGACCATATTATTCTTTTAAGGCGGAAAATATAGCGAAACAACAAAAACGCTGCGAACTTTGGCAATACGCGTGACGTCACAGATTGCAACTAGGTTTAGACTGTGACGTCAGGAAGTTTCCTATCCAGTTATTTTACCATCCATGCTTACATCAAGCAATGATAGCATTGATTCAACTAGACCAATTTTAATAATCTTATTGTCAAAATTGATGCCTATATTATATTGCCTATATTATTATTTCGATGCCTATATTATATTGATAACTAGCAGTGTAATTAATGTATTTTTGGGACAGCTTATATAATGATGTATTTTTCCAGGACATATTATTCTCCGAAAGTGGATTGTATTGGCTGAGCCACAACAAAGTGAAAAAATAATACAGGTATATATTCTGTCTTTAATTGTGGGACCGAAACTCGGGTAAATTATTTTAGATATGCTATACTCCGTGTGTCTCAACACGCTGTCTGGGGAAGCTGAACAATTGTTTGACTGAAGCATACTCTGTTAAGATATGATGGGCTGGAAGCCACGCAAATGGACCTTTCCCCTTATAAACTAAAATTTCGATTTAGACAAAAATTTCATCACAGCTTAAAAGAGCATCACAAAATTAGTAATATTCCAAAGTTTTGTTGCAAAATCTTGTTTCTCAGTTATTTTGTATCACAAACGGGAAATTGACATCCGATTCGGGTGTTGGGGCTGCAATTTCCCGTTTGTAATGCAAAATGACTGAAAATTGCAAACTTCGCAAGCCTCTATTTTCCTCATTTTACAACATTTCGCAACGAAACTTTGGAATATTACTAATTTTGCGATGCTCTTTCAAGCTGTGATGAAATATTTGTGTAGACTTGCCTAGATCAAAATGTTGGTTATAAGGGGAAAGGTCTATTTCAAAGCTACAAAATAGAAGACCTTGTTTGATGTTGAACTGTGTCTCACCATGCACAAATCCTTCGTTTCATCTTCATTAAATATTACTCATCGTGGTTGCACGTTTCATCTCAGCTATTCTTATTGGACAGTTACTTCATTATACGCGGAAAATACAATGAGCTCAATCACCGTGAACGTGCACAAATTAGCACAACCTCATACAAAAACATCAAACAATGACTTTTGTTTAGTTGCAGTGGGAATCAAACCCGTGGACATTTGTTCCCCCTATTTCAATGTTCAGCACATGAGCTACCAGGTCTTAACTTTTACACATAAAGGACTATGTGAAACTTAAATATCAAGTGTGAAAAGTCGAGTTTCACCTACGAAATGCGCATTTTTTTGTGCATTTTTTATGTGCATGCATTTTTTTATGTGCATTTTTTAATGCTCTAATTCCAGTCTTAATTTCTCATGTGAAATAGTATGTAAAATAATTTTTTGTGTTGCTATTGTGTACTGAGGTGAATATGATGTTTGTGATGTTACTCTGAGTGTGTATCCACACCGGGCAAGCTTGAAAAAAATATGCCTGGCCACAATGCCTGGCCACATTGATGTCGGTGCCATATTGATGCCTGACCACGGTGCCTGGCCACATTGATATCGAAGGAACTAGATTCAGTTCCGAAATATCACATACTCGAAATATCACATACTCGAAATATCACATACTCGACTCTGACCGCGTAGCTCAGTTGGCAGAGCATTGGGCTAGTATTCCAAAGGTCGTAGGTTCGATTCCCACCGTGGCCAGGCATATTTTTCAAGCTTGCCTGGTGTAGATGCACACCCAGGGTAACATCACAAACATCATAGTATGTAAAAGTTTCGTAAGGGTATTTTCCGGAAGAGAAATTGGGTAACACATAAGTCCCGAGACTGCTAAATAAATAATTAAATTTCAAACTAATATTTTCAGGGAGGAAATGTAATAACAAAGCATCGTCAGCCGCAAGGTTTTGATGGACAAGCAGCTGTAAGTTATTTTGTCGTTTTGAAAAGTCTCATTAAACGGACATTGCGACAAAAATATATTTTGTCTCATTTCAAAGCTAATGTAAAATCTTTGCATTACAGGGTTTTCTAAAAGTTTCAATGGTTGTTCTAGAGGCTGGCATGCCCGCACCGGTAAGTTAATTTCCTGTGTCTTTTGTGCTCATCTACACAAAACGATTAATCGTATATACGCTTTTTTATCTTACAACTGATTAATGGACCTATTTCCTAATGAACAAAATTTTGATCTAGACAAATCTAGACAAATTTTTCACAACAGCTTGAAAGAGCATCAAAAAATTAGTAATATTCCGAAGTTTCGTTGCGAAATGTTGTAAAGTGCGGATAATATAGCACTGCGAAGTTTGCTGTTTTTCAGTCATTTTGTATTACGCACCGGAAATTGATACCGCTTTCTCAAAAAAGGTACCTGAAGGTATCAGTTGAACAGTTCAGTTACAACTTTATTTCAATACGGAGCGATTTCACAATATTAAACTAACTAAATATATACAGAGAGAAAACAAAATTAGTCATGTCAAGAAAAGATGTGAAGAAAAGCTGACACAGTGAGCTTCCCTCATCTAGCACTGTAATGGCATAATAAAAATATTCGAACCCATGCAGGGTGCAAAAAATCGTATTTAGTGTTAGTGGCATATCTTTCATGGCATATCTGATGAAATGTGATATCTTTCGTTCGTTTTATAGTCTCTGGAAAATTTAGCAGGGTTAACTGGCGAAGATGATATTGAAAGGTATCGATTATATTTTTTTGACAACTGTAAGCTGGCGATTTTATACTTTTCATACGGTTTTACTTTACCAGTATCTTGCATGGAATTGGATAGTCATATTGGTAATTATGCGGTGGCGAGTACAATTAGGGATTAATAGTACGAGTGAATTTTGGAAATTTTTCCAAAATTGAACGAGCCGCTGTGATTACTTGTTTATTATTAGCATGGCAAAATTGAAAACTTTCTTACCAAAGCCCAGTCCTGCCAGATTTTCAACCAAAATTTGGTGCTTTTGTTCGTATTTCATTTAGTTATTTTGCTTTAAGTTCCTCTAGGACAATTTCATTTGTGTTTGTTTGTTTTGGGAAAATCACTAATTGTACTGCAGTACAATTAATCAAATAATTGGACTCCTCTCAACCAATCAGCATCCAGAAATTTTGTTATGTTAATAATAAGTTATGTCAGTGTACATAAAATGTTCCATAGTGGTGTGTAGATTCATTTACAGTACGTCATCATATATTAGTGTTAATATTAGTGTTACTATGCTGTCAAGTAATTTGATTTCTGTTATATGTATTTATGTAAAATATTAATATTAGTTAATCTAAGATGTCATAATTTTAGCATTAGTGCTACATTATAAATCCAGTTAGTTTTCCAATCTCCTCTTGATGAATCTGACTATATCATATTAACATTCTCTCATTTCTCTTATAGTAACCTGTTGCATCTTCCCGGGGTGTCATTATCGCCAGCAGTTTTCTCATTGAAAGTGTACAAGGCAGTTGATATACCACAAAGTAAGAGCTTTTTGCTATATAGGCTGTCCCAAAAAAACCTATCGGCAGTATCGCCTTGAAATTTTGCAGTATTGCTATATACCTTGGCTGTTGTTTACACTGGATAAAATAACTATCATAGTATCATACACACTAACATATCAGTTTATTTATATTTTCTTGTTCAAAACAGTTAAACCAAACGAACTGTATTTTAAATACGTGATTGTATTGACATCCTAGTAAACTTTACTTACGTGAAACGACTTTACAAAAGTTTGAATTTTTCCGAAAAGTGATACCAATGCCGTTACCTTGGCAACAATGGCGTGTAAATATGGCGGATATTTTGGATTTATCATCCCTCGTCCTATTGAATTATTTAGACATGTTTAAAAAATTTCTGTTGACCCAAAACTTTTCATGAGATAGGTAAATGTGATCACTTTAACAAATATTTTTGGTTCTACGGAACTTTAAAATTGTCCAAATAATTTAATAAATTTACGGCATAGAGAAATCATTTTCGGAAACGAAAACTGAGCGTCATCAATGTTGTTTTCGAGTTAAAATATCCGACATATTGAAACGTCATTGTTGCCATATAGTAAAATAGTTCTGTAACTTTTGTGGAGAAGTTCAAATCTTTAGATGATTTTTACACAAGTAAGGCACTCTTTGTTTTTGAACAAGTAATTGTTGTCCAAAAATACGGATCTAAAATCGTAAATTTTTTATTTTTAAAAAACTGTATCGAGCCACCTTAAAGTTGAGATATGCGAAGGCAACTTCAGAGTCAAGCTAAATTCAGAGTCACTGACTCTGAATTTACATCAGAGAAGGATAATGGCAGTTCGGCAATTTTTGCGGGCCTAATATGATGATAAGTCAACGACCAAGTCAGGATTTACTGATTAACACTATTCTTTTCTTATATACGATCATTTTTTGTGTTATTCTTTCTAATGGCATGATTATTATTCTGAATTATATTTTTATCATGCATAATTTTCGTTGCAGTGGACCACGAGAATCTGTTAAATCGTCTTCGAAACGTAAGTTAGATGTTTCTTCCTTGATGTAATTTGTAATAGTTGGACTTTCCTGAATATATTTCTAACTTAGAATGAACAGTTTAGAACTGATGGAACTATCCAGAATCAAGGAAGTGATTAGCTCAGATATACTCAAATTATGAAAACTAATGCATGCATGCATATTCTTACGTTTGCAGAAGAAGAAAGATTGTGCAGATCCTTATTGTGTCTTCAGCTTTGCAGGAAAACAGGTAACCGTTTCCTTATGACGATCACCCGGACACAGCAAAACAATCTATTCAAATCCAATTCGCGATATATCTCGGAGTTTATATATCTTTTGCCAAAAGCTGTTCTTGATACTGAGTTGCATTTGTGTATGACGGATAGGGACTAAAATATGGACAGTCTGAAAGAAACTGTAAAATGAGTTTGATACATTTGTTCGGACATCACAGGAACGCAGACGAAATGGTATTACCTAATACTTAAAAGCGAAATATCAAATTTGTGTTGTAGGAAACTTATTTATAGAGAAAGTAGAGATAGAGATATCAGATGGAGTAAAAGTCGCTTTGAACAAGCCAAGATCTTACATGTAGAAACCACCGTGCGTGGAGATACACAATCAGTGGCGTAACTACTATGGGCTCAGACCGAGAGAACCCGGGGGCCCCCAACCCCAATGGGCCAAATGGGGGCCCCCAGGCTTAGGCGATAGAGCAAAAACATTGGCCAGGGCCTCTGATATGTTACAATGTTATTTTCTGACCATCAGAATTCTGTAAAATCTCTCCCCAATGTCCAGGAAATGGCATTTCAGAGAGTCTAGATTAGATTTGTGCATATACGGTGCTCGAATCGTGCCTTTGGCATTTCTACTAGGGGGCCGAAAATTTTGAACCGGGGGCCCCCTGATATAACGTTACGCCACTGTACACAATATCATAGTGTGCCCACAGTGTTCATACCGCTGCCATGAGTCATTATTTGGGGACGAAACGTCAAAGAAAATTCTCACATGGTCCTACAAACATTTTATAGATATCTTTGAAAAGAATATATAGAGGATATTTCACGGTGGCGCGGAAATATGACTTTTATTTTCGAGTGGTGAAAACAATATTTTACGAACGAGCGCAGCGAGTGAGTAAAATATTGTTTTCAACACGAGAAAATAAAAGTCATATTTCCCAAGCCACCGTGAAATGTTCTTTTTATTATATGGATAAAAGTTGAAGCAAAAATAAAAAACGTATGACTTTATTCAATGAAAAGATATACAAAGTGAATTTTATTACTTAGCCTCAGGCTCAGGATTAAACAATTTAGGCTATATTACGTTCATTAAAAAAACGTCGTTAAAACACATTAACATTGTTAAAAAAACTCATCTTTTTACTGGCTTTCTTCACTTGAAGATTCGAGAATTATTCTTCTTCTCTTAACTGTTGAAACGGTGTCCATGACTGTAGAAGAGGAATTCGGCTGCAGTAGATTAATGTTTACAGTTTGAACGTTACAGTTCTGAAGAAAACTTGGAAGATTTCCCAAAGATGTGTTACCAGAAGTGCTGTTTCGTACAAATGAAGTGCTAAACTGAGATTTCTGAACGCTGGCGCTGCAGGTTGAATTGGACAAAATACCAGAGATTTGTTGTTGTCTAGTCGCGGACATGGTTGAATAGTTGTTTATCGAGCTCACGTTTTTATGTCCTGTTATTTGCATGATCTCATTTGCAGGGATTTCGTTGTCTACTAGCTTCTGAATCAGGTGTTTTCGTGTGCTGTGGTTTACGATTTTTCTATCCGTTTCCATGCCAGCTGCTGTTTGCATGTTTTTCATCATGTTTCGTAGAGAATTAACACCAAGAGCGCTAGTTTTGAACCACCTTTTGCCAGGCTTTGGAATCTCGGTATTTATAGCAAGATAAAATGGCGAGCTATGTCCACACATCTCGGCTGGTCGTTCCTCTTTGTATTTTAGATAAGCAGTGACTGGACACCTCTCGGGGTTTTCTTTATTTTCGTACATAACAGGCTTCACTTCACGTCGATTTCGAGGGTTCTCTCCGGTGCGAGTTTTAGTTTGTCTTTCCGTGGTAAACTGAATAAAACGAGTCCCGGACGAGTCAGTTTTCAACTGCAGATCTCCCCAGGATAAGTCTCGTTGCTCTTTACCAGGTCGCATTCCGAAGAAAACACAATTATTTAACCACACTATGTTGAGAAGCGGTCGGGGAGCGTGGATTCCCAACACTTTTTTGGCGTACAAGTCGTTAATATCGTCGTCGGTTAGCGGCTCAGCAGCGTTTGGTTTATTTCCTTTGCCGTGCGATTTCAGTTCCCTTTGTTTCTTTTTTAAGATGTCTCGGACCCCTGAAAACGCAGTATCGTGTAGAATTGAAGCTCCATAATTGTTTTGCCTTAGGTAACGATCAATACTTTGAAGCATTGCCTTTATTGAAGTGGGCTCGTAATCTCCTCCATGTCGTTTCTTCACTGCCAAAATAAATTTCATCAAGATGTTTTGTAGCTCACCGTACGGCAACAATGTTATGTCTCTTCGCTCGTTTATCGAGGCTAAATAGTCGCTGAAGATCGCCAAATCGGACTTAGTCTTCCTTTTTGTGTTTTCATTTTCATTTTCTTCAGAAAACCTTGCCAAATCAGCGTCGGAAACCTCAACAAAATGTCGAGAAGTTGCCATATTGTATATTCAAAACAGAAACGGTAAAATGGCGGGAATTAGCGTGGGTCCCGCGCGAGACGTTCCCGCGTAAGATATGATTTCATATTTCACTACAGTGAAATACGGGAAATATCAGTGGCGTATTTTACGGTATTTTACTCATATCCATATAATAAATTTATTTAATTAATTAATGACAGTCACAGAAATATATCAAATGCCATTATGGCAGGCCCATTGGACTTCTATAGGCCACTAATCTGAATCTTCAAAAAAGGCATTGTTCTTTGCTAGAGAGTGCATAAATCACGTTGTTTTGCCAAGTTTCACATTTTGGCCGTTATTCCAAAGATTATTTGGGATAATTCATGCATTGTCGGCCAAAAGCCTTGCTAAGTCTTTATATCATGCAAAAAGCGAATCCAATGGTTGTTTTATTGTCTATTTTAATTAAAATATAAAACGACATCCCCACCTGTTGCAGTTCTTTTTTCCATTTGCAAAAAGTCTTTCATTTGTCTTTCATAAGTATGTTTAGATGTTTCAAATAATTCAAAACCTTTCCTACCTGTTTTCGTTGATATTTCTTCTTGATATGGCGCCATATTGTTTTTGTCGCGTTTCCACTTTTCAACAGCATCACGTCATAACGTTGATTTGACTTTATCATATCAAAGTTATGACGTCGTTTAATATTATGTCAAAATTCTATATTTGGTCAGCTATTGAGTTGATATCACAACTTAACAGTTGGTTGTTAGCCAATCAGAACCATGAATTCTTTTGAACAATAGTAATTCAAATATCCTATGATTTTAAGGCAAAAAGCAGTGTCAGCTACAACTCCAGAAGCCCACAGTTCAACGAAAAATTAAATATATCTTTCAAAGTAAGTATTTCTCTGAAATTACTCAATAACATACGGGTATTTTTGTTCCGTTATTTAATGTATAGTTTGCAATGGTAGAACAAATTTAAAATTTACTCTAAGAGGTTTGATTCTAATTGTTCATGTAAAGCAATTGCGCCAATTAATTTAATTTAAATATTTCAACTTGTTCTCTGCTTCTTTTCCAGTACCCTTCTGTGTGTGATAAATTAAAGATTCAGCTTATGGACGAGTGAGTAAAACTGTTTATCTCCTTGAGATACAAATACTTAAGAGGCAATTTTTTTCAATGTTGTGTATTTAAAGATAAAACACTAAACATACTTTTTGTTTGTTTGCCGATTGAGAAACTTTTCGAAAAATAACAATTTTGAATGTGGTCATAACTGCAAGTGGTATACTAGACGCATTAGTTTTGAGCGCGTGTTATACGTATAACATGCAAAGAATCTCCTCTTTTATTTTGAGTTATCATGTTGGTAGACAAATGTACATACAAACGCGGTTGAAAACATACCTTTTTGGCGAAGTTAATTATTAGGAATTGATTCGTCCATCCCAACCATCAAAGTTCTCATAAAGAGTTAAAGCACGTCTCATATTATGATGATCGAAAATTGCCTGGAAAAATGGTTTGCAGTACTTTGATTTATTTTAAGACTCAAATTGTAAGTTTAAAGTGTTCTTATTTTTCCTGAGTCACTCAATTTTCTCAACTCAAAATTCTACCAATCAAGCAAAAACTTTGCCGACCATATCATAAGATTCAGATTAAGCGCAGATGCACATGTGGATAATATTATGCCCTTTACATCAAGCATTCATGACAAGTATTGCGCTTAACTAATAGTCGACCGGCCAAGGTGGCAAAAAGTGCCTCTAAAGAGAGTTTGATGGCAACTTTATGTTAGAAGCTGGTAACAGGCATTTTCTTATAGTTCAAGCCTTGGTGAATAAGACTGTGTGTGTTACCACTTCTGATTTTTGCTTTATAGCAAAAAATTTGAGAATTTTTAAATTTTGCCTATTAAATTACTATGATCGGAAAAAATGTAAAATTTCGTGTTCTCTTATACGAAAAATAAACTATACCACTAGAAAGAGCGTAAAAAACTATATATAAGATAACTTAGGCGACTAGTGCGATTTTCAAGCCGATTTTGAATTAAAGATGGTTAATTAAAGTTGGCAAAATGGGTACTAATTAGCATTAATTTGGTCATTTCTGCATTTTTTAACATTAAAAACTCGAAATAGGATTGGAAAAACGTAGAACTCACTTAATTGTCTTATATACAGTTTTTTACGCTCTTTCTAGTGGTATAGTTTATTTTTCGTATAAGAGAACATGAAATTTTACATTTTTTCCGATCATAGTAATTTAATAGGCAAAATTTAAAAATTCTCAAATTTTTGGCTATATAAAGCAAAAGTCAGAAGTGGTAACACACACAGTCTTGTTCACCAAGGCTTGAACTATAAGAAAATGCCTGTTACCAGCTTCTAACATAAAGTTGCCATCAAGTTGTACAAATTGAAGACTTGGCCGGCCGTCTATAACGGATGATTCCACAATCTTGGACAAAACCCTTGAGAACACTCCAGCTAATATTACAAAGTTATTGAACATTGACAAAACAAACTTGGTCTCCCCCTCCCCCCCCCCCAGTACAATGTTGTGAACAACGCCGAAACAACTTTTGGTAATATACCATGATACAAGCTCAACATTGAGTTGGGGGAGCGGGGGTTTAAGAATGGCAACATGATTCAACATGGAGTTTATCATAAAAATACACGAATTTTCTATAGGGGGAAAATAGTCTCAACCAGTTATGTCCAAGATTGCAGCTATTGACGAAATTTTGATCTAGACAAGAAGCACGAAATCCATTACCATAGCTGGAAAGAGCATCTTAAAATGTGTAAAATTGCAAAGTTTGGTTGCGAATTGTTGTAAAATGAGAAACATATTATAGCCCTGTGAAGTTCGCAAATTTTGTGTATATTTGCATTACGCGCGCGGGGAAAAAGATTAACTATTTTTGAGCAGAAAGTGGTTATTTTTACCGCGCGTAATACAAATATATATACAAAATTTGCGAACCGCACAGGGCTATATATTTTCTTCATTTTACAAAATTTAGCAACCAATCTTTGCACATTTGCTCATTCTAAGACGCTCTTTCTAGCTATATGGTGTTGAATTTCGTTCTTCTTATTGATCAAAATTTAGTCTATAGCTTGAATCACTCATTAGATACTTATAACCTAGACTATTTTATCTTCTACAACAGTAGTGATATTACTTTCTTAACTAGTTAAGGTTACAGAACACCTTGGAGTGTTAATTTTGCCTAAAATTTTTTGTTGGTTTCCATGAAAGCATTAGACTAGTTCTACTATCTGACCAAGTTTGAACGAAAAATGTTGAAAACTCGCGGAGTTATTTAACAAAATACATTTCGATGCAATAAGAAAAACATTGAAAATGTAATATTCAAATTCAAATTTCTTCGGAAGAATTTTACGGCAATTACTGATTTTCAAACGAGTTGTTCTCCTGCGGGTTTTAATTAACCAATTTTTCTCAAATTTTCACAGGACATAGCTAAAGACGTCAGTTTCAATGTGGTGTTCGGCTTTTTTATAATTTTGGATATTTTAATAATAAAGAGCAATTCACTCAAACAATTCAGAAATATATTGCAGTCGTCAAAGAAATCGCCATATCAGCGGAATGACGAAATAAACAAAAAATTTTCGAACACAATTTTTTAGAACAACTATTTTACTGTATAAAAATGATATTTTCATAAATATAACTTAAAACCAGCAGGAGCACAACTTAAAAGCGTAACGGTACAGCGATTTAAGATTTTCCTAAATAATTCTTACATTATTTTATTGTTTGTTAATTTTACAACTTCACCATATTTTGCATGCACTGGAGAACATTTGGTGAAAATTTAATTATAATCGGACTGATATTGAGCGCGCAGTAGCGATTTTCCGCAAAACGCCAAAAAGGGTGTCCTGTAACCTTAACTGTGTTTATCGTAACCCAACTTGTCAACTTTCCCTGTGGGAGGAAACTCACGACATTTGGCAGAGCGTTCACGGACTCTTTTTACATGAGTCCGTAGTGAGAGGATCGATCATAGATGAAGGGCAAAATCTCACAGGTGAATGGTGCTTGCTCTGATGACTATACCGTTGAATCCCCGAATAATGTCGTGAGATATCCTCATTAATAATCAGTGCCCGGACCACCTCATCACAGGTGTCAATTTGCCTTAATCATCCAACTTTTTTGCAGGGATTTTGGTACCCCGGATGACTATATTGGCACAATATTTATATTTGTATCACAATTATCTGGTCAAGGAGGAAATGGTATGACAGCCTATTTCACCTTCAGTGTAGGTTTTTACGATGAAGAATTATATAGTTGGCACTTTGATAGATCACAAAAGACCTTCCAAATTTGCTTCTTATGAAAATTCAAATTGTGTTTCAAACCTTCCATTTTTGTGCGTAAACCATTTTAAAAATGGTTTTAAAAATACAGCCCTGCTGCACTCGGAAGTTTACTGTTCAGTATAATCCTGTGATAGAGATACCAGAAGATCCCAAACCACCCATGCTAACACAAAGTTGTCATGAAATTTGTGGAATTTACAGTTTATTGCATACTTGTAGTAAGACGTCTAATACAGCACTTAACAGCAAGGAGAGGTGATGAACCCTCTACCTTCACATTTTATTCAACTTGTATTTTGTATATATTTGTTTTGCCCACAAAAGATATTTACAAAGTAATTTAGAATATTTACAATAGTATATATGGGGGCTAGGAACCTTTGGAAATCCTGTTGGACTTTTAGATAACTTAAGGCTCCTAGTTTTGAAAAATCAATTACAAGTAACAACTACTAAAAATGTTGACAAACAAGGTAGTATATATTACGCTTATTTACATAAAAATAGTTAAAAGAATAAGGAGATAAAAGTTGACTTTATTTACAGTATTTGCAACTCGTTCTATTCAAAATTTATCTTTCAGATCATGTTGTTGACAGTTTGGCGAAAGCCAATTAATGTTTTTGTGCATGTATAGTAATTTGTATTTTTTGTCGGGACCCCGTTATTGGAGTTTATCTCTGTGGTCAGTCCCAGCCAATGCACTCGTAGATATTTGAATAAGTTTAATATTTGTTTGGTGCGGCGAATCTTGTAAAAAGTAAAAAGTAAAAAGTAAAAAAAATTAAGCAGATAGTAAGTAGCCTAATAGGATTTTATTTTTTTCTTAAAAGAGAAATACGATTTGATATTTTTGATATTTTCATTGAGACCATTCCATATAGAGACCCCTTTGTTAAACACAGTATATTTGCGATAATTAGTTCTTTGAAAGTTCACGTGTAACTTGGTGGAATTACGTGTATTACAATTGTGTAATTCACTATTTTGTTTAAAATAATCACAATAAAAATCCGGCAAATTATTTTGATAATGAAAGAAAGAACTCTATCCAATTCGCTAGAAACGTGCATACAATATTAGAAATTTGCACAACAATGGACGATAATTATTATGAACAATTGCTTTCGTTAGTAGGGATGCAACTGCCTGAAAATATTCAAGGAGAATTTCGACGATTTGAGCGACGGCCCTTCGTCTAGAGTCACTGTAACTCCAGACGAAGGGCCTTCGCTCGAAACGTCGAAAGTCTTCTTATATATTTTTCAGGTAGTTGCATCCGTATACCAATTAACAAAAGCTTGTCCATTTTATTGCCACTACCTACACTGGCCAAGACAGTTCACGATAATTATTACACGTTCCTTTTAGAATTTTTGCCAACGTTTGGACCATGCTTTGTTAATATGTACGGTTCACCGCGAGAATACTCCGACTGGCCAAGCAAACACGAAGAACTAGATAAAGGCATTGTAAGAAAAGTTACACTTATATAGGGGTGGACTCATAGATATCTTACATACACTAGATAGTGCATGTAATTATTCTACAATTCAAAAAATTGAAGCCGTGATTGCAGACTCAGGATATTCCCATGAAATGAGAAGATTCGTATGTTTAAGCACGGAACTTAAATTTTAAGGTAAACCTATTCCAAATACATTTTTTAACTATTCAAATGATGAAAGTTATTGTTGTTTTTTAAGCGTTTTACTAAAAGAGATGCGCTATCTAGTGTATATAAGATATCTATGGGTGGACCATGGGGGATTTTTTTGCAAGAATTTTCTTTAAATTTGGAGAAGCTGTATAGAATGTGTAGATGCTGTGCAGGAATTGTTTCTATATCTGCTGTCCCCAAAATACTATACCCTTCTGCTTTTTTGGGCATTGCAAGCTTGCTATTTTGGCGCCGTTATCAATGGTGTTCATATTAATAATAATTACAAATTTCCATTATATAGGGCGAAGGTGCGGCATATCGAGGCCGAGTACTTGTGGAACTGGAAACTAAATTAGACGTATCCAATGGGCTTGAAGTTGAACCAGTTGGCAGTGCTGACGACGTTCGCGTTCAGGTCAGTGACAAAATATTACACCAAAACTATTTTCTCCTTCAGAAAATTACGATAATTTATGAGCAGTCATTTTGTTTTTTCTTCTAGCGGGAAACGAGTTAATATCCGTCTAATAGAGAGCCAATCGGATTTCAGAATAGCTACATCCGGTAGTTGTCCGTATAAATAAAATAGAAGGCGAGATACTGAGTTTCGCGACCTCTGTATAAACAAATCATTGTTTGTCGAAAGAGTTTAACGTCTTTAATCAAAATGCAGCGTATAATTGATAAATACAACACTTACTTCGACTTTGATCATTTAGGATATCACAATATTCGGATAGATGCGAGTTCAAATCCCGCTCGAGCCAACGAATTTTTCGTTGGTCGATTGCAGTGTCAGATTAATATGAAACTAGTTTTTCTTATCTCTGAGGATGGTTCTGAAATAGAATTGAAACACTGCGCGTCCTCTAAGACAAGCGTTAGGTCGTCACGAAAATATTTCGTGCGCTTAAATTGGATAAGACTCGCTAACAATCCCTGTTGACTCGATAGCTCAATAGGTACAGCGGCGGTCTAGATACCCGAAGATGCGAGTTCAAATCCCGCTCGAGCCAACGAATTTTTCGTTGCTCGATTGCAGTGTCAGATTAATACGAAACTAGTTTTTCGTATCTCTGAGGATGGTTCTGAAATACAAATATCTCACCTAGTAATTATTAACGTTCTACACTAATTAGCCGACGAGATTCCCAAAATAATTATCATGCACGATCGGAATTTCTCTTTGCCGCGAGTAAGTTTTTCTGCAATAGAAAAATAGTTTGCTTGCGGTAAGGTTGACATTTGGTTTTTTTCTAGCCATACATGCAAACGGAAGAATTCCGTCTTCTTGCTGTTTTCCTTGAAGCTACGATGTTGGCCGTTGAAGACGCACAAGTTGAATTCGAATTGAGTATCGGTAAGACAAATTGAAATACAGCCATCTATACTTGCTTGTTCCTCATAGGATTGCAAAATTAGAATTTAATTCTAACCAAATTTTTTTCAGGAAACTATGGCAACAAGTTGGATGACTCAGTGAGCCCGCGGCCATCAAGTACACCTCCCACCAATCCAGTGTCTGATGGCGAGAAATACTACTATCTACCATGGGGAAATTCCAAACCTTACGTCAGGATTGATTGTGAATGGGAGGATATCAGCTTCCGCCTGGGTGTACTGAATAAATTGTTGAAAATTTGCAGAGATTTGGTAAGATTATATAGTCACTTTGGCGAACGTTTGCCGTATTTTGCGCGCTAAAATGAATATAAATTGGCACATTGCACACCATTAATTCGAACCAGATATGAATGTCTACATCAGTAGTAGAATATAGAAGTCCGAAGGACAAATGCTTTTTGAAGTCTTTGAAAAACTCACGAGTACTTGTTTTATCCAAATTTCACAATTCTATTACGTATTGATAATATACATAGAAATGTTCAAGACAATTGTAGTTTTAACTTGCGTTTACAGCGAACAGTCCGCTGACAAAGTTTCCCTGTTTTGTTATATTTAAATAGAGAATAATACATGGGTGCGCGGAAATACCGGATTTATTTCTCGTGTTGAACACGATATCTGACGGGTGAGCGCAGCGAGTGAGATATCATGTTCAACACGAGAAATAAATCTGGTATTTCGATCGAAGCACCCATGTATTTTTCTGTTTATTATATAAAGGACAGTCTTTGAAAAGCGATAATTTTTGCAGTAAAGCGATAATTGAAAAGCGATAATTTTCACATGTGAAATTATCATAAATAATCTCACATGCGAGATATACTATCAGTTTTATCAGTGCATTTTACTCAATTATGTAAATTGCAAGTTAGTCTTGTTTAAGGTAAAGTCGTTTCCATTTTTTAAACAAGATAAAAGCCTGATTTTCCAACTGAACTCGACGTTGTGTTTTGAAGCAATCTGTAACAATGTCTGTAACCGTTACCTGAGGACTGCTTTAAGCTGATTGGTTGATTTTAGATTCCATTGTTTTTCCACCAATCAGGTCAGTTTGTTACAGATTTGTGCACGGTGATTACAAATTTTGCACTGCTCTTTGAGATTAACTGCACTGAAATCAACCAATCACAGTCGAGTAACATTTTTATGTACATTATTAGGCGAAAAAACAATATGCACATGACAATTACAAAGTCCGCATATTTTTGCACAAATGCAACATGGAGGGATATTCTTTTTGTGTTATAGGAACGGAATATATACATGCTCAAGTTAACTGCAAGTACTTCTGGAAAGGGACATGAATTTAAAAATAGCATCTGTGACATCCTTGGTGGTCTTAAGAAAGATTGCAGGTAAGAAATTGTACATTGTTAGCATTATGATTTTTGTATTATTAATCTCCAAATGACAATTTCCCTACTGTGTGGAATTGACATGCACTGCTTTTTAAAACGCGTAGAATGGCGCGAGATGGCGTGAACAAGTCATCACGTCAGGTCATATATGTAGGTGCTTTCGTTGATTATTCCCAGAGACACAAATGGTCAAATGGGTTTGTTAGTATAGCCTGACGTTTTGTTTTCGCGGTGCTTGTATACAGCTAGTTTAGTTAAGGTTGGCCTTCCGAAAACCTGAACCATAAACTCTGAGCGCGCAAGTGATGATGGGTTATTACTTGTTTAGACTCATAAACTTTGAAATTTGGCTTCGCAAAAATACCTAAGACATATAGAAGACTCACGACAGAAAATATACTTGTTGCAAAGGCAATTTTTTAAGGGTCTAATAGGTGAAAACCCATCATCCCTTGCGCGCTCAGAGTTTAAGGTTTTGGAAGGACCATCTTAATCGAGTCAGTTGCATAAGTGATTAATTTGTGTGTATTAATATATCGAGCCACCTTTAAAAATAGCTTGGGTCATACTATACGCGATTCGGCAACGCGACGCGAATTTTCAGGTTTCAGCCGGGAACAAATAAAACCGTCAATAGATAAAAATTGTTACAAGATATGCATACCAAGTGGCTACGAATATTTGAAAAACATAGAAAAATATTAAAGTTAAATGTCAATGAAAATTGAAAATTCGCGTCGCGTTGCCAAAACGCGTCTGGTCAGTATGGGCCTTAAATAGGGTGCAAATTTAGGTGTTTTATGAACTATCAAAATACCAGGCAATTTGATGTACATCAAGTCCTACGCCCGACCTCCAAAACGTGGGATTTTTGCCGTAGTTGCCTATCGCGCATAATTTATCACATGCACGACTGATTTTATGCATGATTTTACAAAAAGTTTAAAAATTATAATGGCAAAAAATTCCAAGTTTTAGTGGTTGCGCGTTGGACTTAATATACATCAAATTATCAGGTACTTTGATAGCTCATAAAACACTTTCTAAATTTGCAGCGTGTGAATTCAAATTGCGTTTTAAGGCTTCCATTTTTGTGCACAAGCCATTTTTAAAGTGGTTTTTAAAAACGACACTCCTGCACTCGAAAATTTACTTTTCAAAATAATTTTAGTGGTGAAGATACAATATAGCATACCACAAACTACCCATACTTGCATGAAGTTTTCACAAAGCTTGCGAAATTTACTGTTTATATATAGCGATCATTATCGAACTGTTTTTCATACACCCTGTTGAAATGACTTCAGCTGGTGCTTTTTCTTCATCCCTCTTCTCCCTTTTTTACAGCCCTCTGTCCAAACCTGATCCGAAAGAGTTCAAAATGACCAAACTGGATCTTCAAGTGCATGAAACTAGACAAGACGTTCTGGTGAGTTCTATCAATAGAATAGGCGCACTCGCATCCAAAATGTCCTGGGCATGCCCCAGCTAGACTGATCTCAAAGCTGGATAGAGCAACCTTTTGGATTTAGGGAATTAATTCTGAAGCCAGAATACAGTAGAAGCCCTCGAACTCGCTTAACTCTAATTCCTCGCTAAATCCAACAAATTTCATTTTCCCTTGCTCAAATTTACCCGATTAACTCGAACTGTATTTTGAGACGTGGAATGATTGAATATGCAATGATATCAACGATTGAATATGCTTGGCATTTTTTCTTCAGAAACGTCCAGTTCGTTTTTGCTGTACAAGAAATTCTTCAATTTTGATTCTTCTTCTACGATATTTTGCATTTACATAGGACATATCATTTCTAACAATCTGATGTTTTTTGTTTTTGAAATTGTTACATTTTTGGCGGGGAAAAAATGTGACGAAATTGGCGCCAACAATTCATATAATACATATAGGTTCTCTTCTGAAATGTGAAGTTCGTTTTGTTATGGCCCAATTCATTGCCAATTCATAGAACAAAATGACGGATTTCTTGTATTTTGAATTGATATAACTTCGTAATGAATAGTCATAATTCAAAACGGACTTCAGATTTGAGATTCTTATAGTATACTCTTTCACGTTCATACACAAAATCAGCTGTAGCTATTATACTATATTATTAACTTAGGTAACAGTAGTAGAAACTTTGTACCTCTCTTCAACAATTCATATTTTCTCCAATTCAAGGCATCCATTGTTGTAGAATGTGAGCAGCTGGAATCGAATCTCGACAGGCCTGAAGTCATACTAATCCTGGAGAGTTTCTTAAAAAGAATTCAAATCATTGCTGTAGAGGTAAAATTTCCGGGGGGAAAACTAGTTATTGAGGAGTGAGTGCATTTGAGAGATATCCGCATTAGAGGCTGTGTTGTTACAAAGTTGCAAGGTACAAAACGTTTGCAACTAGTTGCTATAATTACGGAATTTTATGATACAATTAGCGTCAGTAATTATGCCAAACAGATAGTATAATGTCAAGCAATAGCAGAAGTCAGACTATGATTTATGGAATCAAGTCATGTCAATTGCCAAGTGAATTAGGCAAATCAATTGTTTAATTTAATAAGAAAAAAAATTAATAGTCACGGCGGGAAAATTCAAAATGTGCTGTTATTCTTTGCCGTTCTTTAATAGGCAACATTTTTAAATTCTCAAATGTTCGATTATAAAGCACGCGCAAAATCAGAGGGCCAACATAAATGGTCTTCTTTATTAATGCATATACCCTAAGAAAATGCCAGTTGACAGCTTGTAACAAAAAATGCCTCCAGAGAGTAACTTTTAGAAAGGCCGGTGAGGGGGGGGGGGTCGTGTAATTGTTGAATGGTACCATTTGTATTAGTGAGATATCCATATTAGAAAAATCTGTGCATTTAATAATGTCCCTATTAGATGTCCGTATTAGCGACGTATCAGAAAGCTGTCCACACCAGAGAGATATGTATTAAAGGGAATGGCAATATAATTTCAATTTTCTCATTTGAAAGAACGTTTGAAACTATATATTAACTTCTTTTATCGATTTTTCATATCTTGCTTAGTTCTTGAAATATTTTCACTTGAAGTAATGAGACATTCGCCATCTTGGATAAATGTTTGTACAGTAGTTTCGGTGACGTCATAACAGGGATTAACCATGTAAAAGTATTCATTGTTGACCAAATATTGATTGGTAGATGTTTTAAAGGTTTTGAGTGATCTTGATATTTCGAAGGGCAGACAGAGTATAGTTTTCAGTGCAAAATGATTAGTGGTTGTCTAGATAAAAATATTGCGTGACCCCTGTTGTGACGTGCATGCATATCTACAAAAATTGAAGATAGCGGACATTTCATTCCTTTTGATAAAAACATTTGCAGAAGTAAGCAAGATATGAAAAACGGTAAAAGAGTATCATATATAATCTTAAACGTTTGTTCAAATGAGAAAATAAAAAAATATATTGCCATTTCCCTATAAAGGATTTTTCTTATTGACTTGGGTTTGTTGATTTTTCAGCCTCAAAACAGCATGCCGGACGTGATAATCTGGATGATAAAAGCAGAAAGAGAACGCATTGCATACTGTCGTATTCCTGCCAATGAACTGCTGTATTTCAACGACGAGAACGAGCGTGGCGAGAAATGTGGGAAGACGATTGATGTTAATCTTAAGGTTTGTAATAAAAAAAACATTCAAGTTTGCTCACGTGAAGACAAAGAGCGAAAATCCTTTCTAAAAATGTGGAAGGGAACGGGGGGTAAAAAGAGACCTCAAGATTGATTTTTGAACTCTTTGTCCCAAATTTTAAAGTGAAGTTTGAGATTATACATCAGAAATAATTAATTATATGGAGATTAAGATTGGCGTATACAGACTCTGAGATGTTTATGATAGCCGCCATTTTGTTTTGACAGTTGTGCTTAATAGTTGGTTGTAAACCTAGCTTTGCGTTTTCCGTCTTTCAAATTCGGTGCAATATGAAGATAAGATGATATTTTGTGCATTGATTCTAATAATTCTAGTCACAAGAATATAGTTTGATATTTTCGAAAAAAATTGAGAGGTTAATCATACAAACACAATTTATGCCCGTTGAAGTTCAAAAACGTTACAGCGAATGCGACCGCGAGGATCTGGTTTATCTATAGCAGTTCTCTGTTTAAGGTATTCATAAAAACACATCAGTCATCAGTTCCCAAACGGTCCAATAATCGCTAAATGGGCGTTTTAAAAATCATTTTCTAAGGAAGGGGGGGGGGGGGTGATATGTTTGATAATAGTCGTATATATTAGAGAGGGGCTTTATAACAAACATACTAGCCGAAAGGCGAGTCCGGGATTGGACGCACTGAGAGTGGCTGGAAGGTGGTTGGTGAGTTCGGGAAACTTCCAGCCAACCGAGGTGCGTCCAATCGCGGACTCACCGAACTTGCAAGTATGTTTGGTTTTTATCACATGCCATTTCGGTAAAAAGTACCAAAGAATTGACGCATTTTAGTATTTAATTTCTTGTTTGGATAACGAACATTTTAGCCGCCAACATACTCCGCAAACAAACAAACTTAGGCTTAAATTGAAGCTAAAACAATTCGCTACAATATTCCCTTACTCTTGAAAAGGGAAAATGCACGCATTCTGCGAAAACATTGCCAAGATTAATATAAACCTGCCCGTGCCGAACAAATTTTGGCGGCCATCTTTCTTCTCTTCCACTTCGAAAAAAGAATTAATATTCCATTTTCATCAAACAAAATAAAAAATAATAATTATTATATAAACAATTAAACAATTAAAAACAATTAATTTATTTTTTATTTAAATCTTCGTCGAAAATTTGTTCAAATCGCTTCATAATGACCGCCGCCGAAACATCGATCTCGAACCCACCTCCTAAACATACGTCAGCAGGTGGGTTCCGTTCGAGATTGAACGCACTTCCTCCTAGCCAATAGGAAAGCCGCTAATACGCTAGGTATGAGATAATATTTTTACTGATGGTTGATTTGCATTTCATAAGTTGTACTACTCTACAGTTTCCAGGAAAAGAAGACAGCAGTCACAAGTCAAAATTTGCCGGCATGTTGCGGCTCATGATTTGGTTTGGCAGGAAAAAAGAACAAGGAGAGTGGCAGGAATTGAAGAGGACTGGCGGTAGACTGTCTGTCTACGCGGAAACAGTGAGTTGCATTTTGTCATCGTAAGGTGGCACACAATTTTTTTTTGTCTTTCATTATATCTGAAGAAAAACGTTTTTCTCGATATTTCTTTATACGCAATGGACAACTTGCATGTTGGGCTAAATTTTAATCTAAGTACAGAGAAAGGAATCAAACACTACAGCTAAAAAGAACATAATGAAATTAGTAAAATTGCAAAATGTGGTTGCGAAATGTTGTAAAGCTTGGAAAATACAGTCTTGCAAAATTTGCAAATTTTGTATATGTTTGTATCGTACGTGCGGAAATTGTTACCATTTTCGGCTCAAGAATGGTAACAATTTCCGCACGTAATACAAACATATACAAAATATGCAAACTTCACAAGGCTATATTTTCGCATTTACAACACCTGTACAGTAACGTACCACCAAGTGCCATGATGCTACTGTGTTATAACTGCACTGCTTATTTTATGTTGAATTTTAGTTTGAAAATCAGAATCGTTTAGGAACATGGAGTGCTACAAAATACAGTCGCCCAGCGTTCTCTAATGCAAATGGAACGGTAAGTTGAAAAGCGTCTCATAATGAAAACATAACAAAATCTCGGAAAAAATTTATTCTTTATGCCATTTGTCCTAAATGGAGAGCTGTTACAGGCAGAGATATATCAGAGAGTTGCATTTCGGAGAATTAAGTTTGAGCCACGGTGATTGTTAAAGTGCATATGACATGAAATTTCTTATTTTCTTAAATGAAAGAACTCTTTAAGTTGTAGTGTACTTTATTTTTCAGTTTCTTGTTTTTATGGTTTGTTCCCGAGATATTACAATTTGTTTGATATATAAATGAGTGTGAATATGTCCGCTAAGTTATGACGTCATGTTGGTTGCAAGCTCAACCTACACTGGTTATAAATGTATTAACTCTAAAAACTGTTGATATTAGTTTACGTTTTTCTCCAGTGTTTCATCACGTTTACCAGTGAGTGAAGTTTGAAATTATCATCTTGGATGATAGCAGTGATATTCAACCATTTTGAAGAGCTTGCAACCAACATGACATCATAAATTGGCGGACATATTCACATTCATTTACATATCAAACAAATTGAAATATCTCGGGAACAAACCATAAAAACAAGAAACTGAAAAATATGATACACTACAACTCAAAGAGTTCTTTCATTTAAGAAAATAAAAAATTTCATGTCACATGCACTTTAAGGCGATTCAATTTTGAGGACAAAGCGTTCATATCTTGAAAAACGTGACATAACGATAACGACATTTAGAATTAGAAAGTACTAGTAGTGGCATTAATAACCATTGCCTGTATTAAGTCACCTCCAAACAAAGGGCCTTCGCTCGAAACGTCGAAATTCTCCTTATACTTTTCAGGTAGTTGTATCCCTACCAACGAAAGCTAATTATTATCGGCACTACCTACACTGGCACAGTGAAATCATTGCCCGCATGTTCGCCGAGAGAGGGGGAGGGGCGACGCTCTTAAAACTGACCTCCAAAGCAACGAAGGCTTTGGTACACGATTGCTTAACCAACTAGAGGGCACTCAGAGACTGCATACCTCCGCCCCCATTGAATTTCGGTCGTGTGAAATGCAACTAAGACAATAGATAATGAAGGCTGAAGCTTAATGAGGTTTATCATCTCATTGTCTATAGTACGCGTACATACATTATACACGTCCTAATTACGCATTCAGTGAGTTTTTTTTAATTGACCGGGAAAAGCAAGACAAAATTTTGTTCATTTCTCGTTCAATATTTAACCAAATTCAACCAAATTTTAATCAGTTCTTTCTTAGCCGATGGGAAATGCATTCAGAAAATTTCGTATGAATATGTTTGGTATTTCTTGAGTTATCGTGCTCACAGACAAACACACACACACACACACACACACACACACACACACAAACCCAGATGATTGCATAACCTCCTGGCGGAGGTAATAATGTGAATCCTAGTTGCCTTAGTAGTCCAGTCAATCTGTGACCAGAGGTCAAAGAAATTGCAATAGAATTTTTGTCAGTGGTAAAATAAAGGTGTCCTGATTAAAAATCCCAAAAAAATCCCTTCGGTCGAACATGGAGAGACAACGAGATTTTCTTACTTCTACCTATAGAAAACCATTGTGGACAGAATGTTCAAATTTTGAAATCATTCTTAAGCAAATATAACCTACATTATTGGAAAGCTTAAACAAAACTATATTAAGGTCAATTAAACCGTTATATTCAATTTACTAGGCAGTTTGTCGTTATTCTAGCTCAAACGGTTGGAAAATTAGCGCAAAATTTGAACAAAATACAAATTTATGGCATTTTAAATCTTGTATAACTTCGGCTGGATAGGCAAAAGCAAGGTAATCGTTTAATGATCTATATTTTAGTTTTTTCTAATCTTTCCAATGATGCAAAAAAAGTAGTTTCAAAATTTCAACATTTTGTCCGCAATGGTTTTCTATAGGTAGAAGTAAGAAAAACTTGATTTTCACCATGTTCCACCGAATTGTGATTTTTGTGATTTTTAATATGTTAATCAGGACACCTTTTCTCGCACTTTACCACTGAAAAAAAATCTATTGCGATTACTTTGATCAGGACCATGTACTTATAGTGATTTGACTGGACTATAGTGGCAGATCATATACAATAAAGTCTAATATTGTAAAACACTACTACTTTCGTTTTACAATGGACCTATTCCCTAATGAACAAAATTTTGATCTAGATAAGTCTAGACCAAACATTCTACCACAGCTTGAAAGAGCCTTACAAAATTAGTAATATTCCGAAGTTTCGTTGCGAAATGTTGTGAAATGCGGATAATATAGCACTGCGAAGTTTGCAATTTTTCAGTCATTTTGTATTATGCATGGGAAATTGATACCTTTTTAACTTTTTTTTTCAGAAAGCGGTATCAATTTCCCGTGCATAATACAAAATGACTGATTTACGGCAAACTTCGCAGGGCTATATCTGCATTTTTCAACATTTCGCAATGAAATTTCGGAATATTACTAATTTTGTGATGTTTTTTCAAGCTGTGATAAAATTTTTGTCTAGACTTGTCTAGATCAAAATTTTGTTCAAAGTTTTTGAGCCTAAATAAACAATAACCCATCATCCCTTGCGCGCTCAGAGTTTAGGGTTTAAACATTTTTGCCAACATATCTAATGGCAACATGATTTGATTTGCTATTTAGATTTCTTTGCCCAAAGACAATTTCCAGGCACCTGAAGGATGGGAGTTTTCTGGTCACTGGGAGGCCCATTCTGAGTTGAGGTAAGTTCTCCTCAAATCATTCTTTATACTTGAAATACATGCAGGCGGCAACCCCTCGCTTATATTTTCCAAACACTGATTTTAACATGAAGTATTAGTGTGGCGTCAAGTGTTGCCATAACAACACGATATTATATTTTTTTAAATATATTTTTGTACAAAACGGAAAAATATTTTGAAACATTTGTAGGCTAGAACTTTTAAATATACAACGATGAATTCCAGAAATATATACTGTAGGTGTGTTATTTTGCAATTTGTGAGTTCCGGTTTAATGTAAAATTCATTTTGAAACGCCTCGTAAATTGTTTTGAAGCGCTCATTCAACAAAACTGCTTCTGCCGAAAAACTGTTTTTGCTATCAATTGTTGAGTTGAGTTGAGTTGAGTTAATGCTATTTCAGTCTTCAAATTAATTTGCTCTCCTTTACATTTTAAAGATTGTTTTCCCCAAATTAAACAGCGTTAATTCAGAAAACTTACAACTTCATTGACAAGAATTGCTTTCAAGCAGAAACTGAAAATCAAACTAATTAACGAATATAAGCCTCTACATTTGTTAACACCTGCTAACATAAACTAACTTAACTAACCAATTTTACATTTATTGATAATTTATTTAGTCATTTATTTAATCGCGGCACAATATTTTGGAATTGACTTGCAATATTTTAATGTTGACCCACAGTGGCTCGAACTATTAATTATAGGGTTATCTGACTAGTTTAGCATTTAGTTAATTCAGATAACTTGTGTCATGTCAGTTTATAAGTTCAATTATTAATATCTCATCCTTGTAAATTTTATTGTAATGACGCCAAAAAATTATTATCTATGTATGTATATGTATGTCATTGAAAAGGACATAGCCACGCGGAATTAGTGCCCTCGCCCTTGGGCAGTTGATTCCGTTTGGTCATAGTTAACTCCGTAGATTCTGATTGGCTGAGTTCAAAGGTCAACAAAGTTCTAACTTTCAATAACGTAAACGAATCGCATCGCGCTCAGAAATTGCCGCTGTTGTCAACTCCAAGTGATGAAGATTACCACAAACTGATACAAACATAGTTTCTAATCCAGCCCCCCCCCCCCGGGCAATCTGACGTCCGTATTGACAAAACGTGTTTGCTTAAAGGGGCAGTATGATCAAAATTTTTATTTACTTAAACGAAAGTGCTCGTAAAGCTGTATAATAACTTGTTTTGAAGATTTTGGTTCCCATGCTTAGTTCTTGAGATATTTCATTTTGTTTGTAACCATGTGACGTCATCTACTCAATTACATAAAAAATGAGATATCAGTAATTGTTGTGTATCTTTGCTATTTTGATCAAAATATTTCGAAAGATGCGGCGCGTTTGTTAATTTAATCTGCATCATTAAGCATACTGTGTTTTTTAACAAATCGATCAAAAATAGCAAAGCTACAAAAATAGCAATCACTGATATCTCATTATATATGTAATTGAGTAGATGACGTCACATGGTTACAATATGAGAATGCAATTACTCTCTACGAGCCAAATACCAACTATCTGCACCCCGCTTCAATACAAAAACTCTGAAGCTCTCTATAACGTATAGAGGTGCAACCTTGTGGAATGATATAAATCGAAAACATAGCGAAATAAACATTGATGAATATGACAATGTTAACGCTTTCGTAAAAAAGGCCATAAAAACAATCACCTTCAAAGACTTTGTCTTTTTATAGACATAGTTAGTAAATAGATAGTAATTAATTCTTATATGTAATTCATAACTTTTGTATATATCTCTAAGTGCACGACCCCACAAGCTTATGCTTTAAAAATTATCGTGCTTAAATAAAGTCATATTATTATTATTATTATCTCAAGAACTAAGTATGAGGACAAAAATCTTCAAAACAAGTTATTATACAGTTTTACAAGCATTTTCGTTTGAGCTTTGGTTTAAGAGAATAACAATTTTGATCACACTGCCCCTTTAAATTAAGCTGGCTAATATCATGAATAAGCATTAAATAAAATGTTTCCCTTGATGTCTTTAGCACTCAGTTCAGAATGGATAGCGGCTGCAAGACGTTCCTTGAAGATGTGTTTGAGAACGAATATCGATTGATTCCTGGTGGTTTGTGGAATAAAAATAAAACTCAAACATCATGGACGGATGGAGTACGTGCTGCACCTTTTAGCGATGCTTTGCTTTGCCTTACATTACCTTAGGACCTTACCTTATCGTTATCCTGACTTGCTTTACCTTGCCTTGCCTTGCCTTGCCTTGCGTTACGTTACGTTACGTTACGTTACGTTACGTTACGTTACGTTACGTTACCTTGCTTCGCCTCGCCTTGCCTTGCCTCGCCTTGCCTCGCCTCGGCTTACCTTACCTCGCCTTGCCCCACTTAATTCAATTTTCCTTTTAAATAGTTCGGGAAGGAGATATTAGATGAGAACAACAAGCCAATACAAGATAAGTATGACGTCAAACCTCCAAGAGGTTGGAAATGGTCTCGGGATCAAGAATGGATCATTGATCTAGATCGCGCCGTTGACAGCAATGGTTAGTGGGTTTTTTTCACCATTAGAATAAAGTCTTTATAAATGTATTATCCACTGCACTTATACAATCTATTTTTGCAATGTTTTCATTGCCTGTGCATTCAGCAAAAGGTCTATTCAGGAGTACTTTCTTCCCCATCATCAAGAGGAATTAAGTAAAGAAATGCAGTTACTTCTACGCTTTAAAGAAATGCAGTTACTTCTACGTTTTAAGATAAGAAAATGGGCGATTGGGCCATGTTTACATTGTATCGGATCTTTTTGCGTCCGACGCAAAAATCGTACCAGATATATAGGGCTTCTGTGTACATATCAAATGTTGTTATCGTCTCAATTTTTGCAACGAACTTGTGGTGCGGCGGTTCACTCTTCGAAGTGGTACGCGGTGTATAGGATCGGTTTTGCAACGCTCTCATTGTAATGTAAACGCCAATCGGAGCAATTTTCCGTTCAATGGTGAAGCGTGACTCAAGATGGCGTATAGCAAACAAAAACTTGCTATTCTAATCTTATATCCGGGTATAGCTTACTCACTCTTTTAAATGATGTGTGCAATATTTTTGTATTTGGTAAATATAT